TTGTCTCACTCCTCTCTGTAATGCCCAGTGCCTTGAGAGTAAATAAATGAAATGAAATGAAATGAAATGGTATAGTATCTTTGCAACTCCAACGACCATTCGTTTGCTTCTACACAAAGGCTTTGTATTGAACTGGTCCTGAAGGCTCCTGTGGAAAGGTGGATGCCCAGATGGTGGACAGGATCTAACATTTTCAAAGCACTTGATGTGGCGGACTAATAGACTATAGCCCCATAGTCTTTGCACGGGAGTATAAGCCTCTTGTAAAGACTCGTGAGGCATTTTCTGTCACTGCCCCAAATTATGCGCGATAAAACTTTTAGGATATTCATTGTTTTCATGCACTTGTTTCTAATATACAAGAGGTGCGATACAAATGTTCCATGTCCAGCGTGGCTCCTAAGAATTTATGTACGGTTTTTACGGGAAGACGATGGCCCCGCAGGTAAATATTTGGATCTGAATGCGGGCCTCTCCTCCTGGAAAATAGGACGCAGGTGCTCTTTCGTGCGTTAGGGCAGAATCCATTTTTGTATGCCCGTTTCGACCCCTCATTCAGACCAAGCTGAACCTGCCTCTCGCATATTGCAAGGTTGCATGACTTGAAGCCTATGCGGATATTGTCTACGTATGTCGAGTAGAACGTAGTTAGTGGGGTACATAGACGCAGAGAATTCATTTGTGTTATAAAAAGCGTGCAGCTTGGCACACCACCTTGTGTTACTCCAGTTTCCTGGATAAACGGTTGTGGCAAAACGCTTCTCAGTTTGACACGGAAAGTTCGGTTAGAAAAGTAGCTCTCGATAAAGTTCCGCATTTCTCCTCGAATACCGAGTTCTTAGAGATCTCTCAGTATTCTGAATCGCCGTGTGGTGTCGCATGCTCTCTCCATGTCTAAAACACAGAGAGAAAGAAATGCTTGTGAATGAAAGCGTCTCTAATGTGTGTTTAAATTCATACGAGATGGTCAGTAGTAAACTGCCCAAATCAAAAGCCACCCTGGTGCGGATCAAGCAGACATTTTGATTCCGAGAAATGTGTTAGTCGACGCCTTATCGTTTTCTCGAAAAGCTTACAGAGGCAGCTTGTCAGAGCTATCAGTCTGTAGCCCGAAACAAAGGACGGATCCTTGCGCTTTATGATAAGGAGCACAATGGCCTCTTTCCACGAGGTAGGAACTACACCAAAACACCTTATGGCGTTGTAGAGTGAAAAGAGAGCTTTCTGGGTTTCGAGGGGCGGGTGCACTGACATTTGATATGCTACACGGTCGGGACCTGGGGATGATTTGTTGCAGCAGTTTAGCGATGCCTCCAACTTAGCTAGGCTGAAAGGTTTATCGCATTCTTCGTATTTTGTACACGTTCGTTCTAGTTTCTGTCCCTCTATTCTTGCTTTGTAGCACTGGAAATTTTTATAATAATGAAATGAGCTGGACACGTGTTCGGAATGGATGCCCAAAAGGTTTGCTTGGTTCCCCAGCGCATTGCCCTGCATATCAATCAAAGGAAGCGGGTGTGCTTCTCGTCCATGTAACCCGCAGGCCACGGGACTAAATCCCTGCTGCGGCGGCTGCATTTCCGATGGAGGGGGAAATACTGTAGGCACGTGTGTTCAGTTTTGGGCGCACGTTAAAAAACCCCAGGTGGTCTAAATTTCCGGAGCCCTCCACTACGGCAACTCTTATAATCATATAGTGGTTTTGGGACGTTCAATTCCACATATCGATTAATTCTCGTCCATGTATCCTGTTAACCCTGCAGTGTTCCAGACTTTGCTTACGTCTGTACACGAGTTTATCCCTAAAAAGAACTTTTGCCACCTCTCTCTTCGAGCCTGCCGGCGTGTCCTCTTTGCTTGAGATTTCACGTTCTTCAAATTTGTGAGGTTAGCCACTGTTGGGAAATCTCGCAATAACTGCCACGCTTTGTTTTGTTTGTTCCGCGCGTTTCTACATTCATTGTTTCACCAGGGAACACGTCGTTTAGAGCCGGACCTACGCGCTTCTAGAATACATTGACAAGTAGCATCAACCAGAACAGCTGTGAAATTCTTCGCGACATCTACTACTGTCAGACCAAACATTTCAGCCCACGACAGGTGAGTAACAGTTTGGAACCGTTCCCAGTCGGCTGCCTCAAGATTCCACCGAGGGACCTGAAGAATAAGGTTATTCTGGTTTGGCACAGTGATGATTATCGGGAAACGGTGACTTTTATACGTGTTTTAAGAACATTCTATTTAAAATAAGTTAGAAGCGATCTCAATGAAATGCTAAGGTCTATGGACGAGTATGAATTGTTTGCGAGGCTGAAATACGTGGGCTCGTTCATATTGAAAAGGCATAGCTTAGAGGAAAAAAAGCAGCTGTTCAATAAGACGTCCTCAAACATCGTAGCGAGAATCGCCCAAAAGGACATTTTTTGCATTAAAATCACCAAGAAGCAAATAGGGCTCTGGGAGCTTATCTATTAATAATTCTAGATTCTGTTTGTGGAGCTGATGGTGAGGTGGTATGTACAATGAACAAATCGTAATGAGTCTATTTAAAAGAATGGTTCGGATGGCAACTGCATTAAGAAGCGTTTGAAGTGGTTAATGAAAACACGCCGCACTTCTATTTACTATAATAGCCACACCACCTCATGACGCCACAGCATCATCGTGATCCTTTTGGAAGGTGACGTATTGACTGAGAAAGTTGGAATGTTTGGACATGGAATGTGTCTCCTGTACACACAGCACATTTGGATCGAAATCATGGAGGAGTTGTTGTATGTCATCGGGGTTCCTAAGAAGACCTCTTACGTTCATTTTATTATTTTTGGATCCATATTAGAAAAGGTGGTGCTGTGTGTACTATAAGGACTGTGTGTCGAGAAGGAGGAGACTATTTTACAGGGCCTTTGTGAGGCCCTGTAATTGGTTTTTTGTCTTTTTTGAGGTGGTCGACGAAAGGTCGCCGCTCCTTTGGCGCTACCTACTCAATTCAGCTAGAAGCGGTGTCCATTGCCTCCTGCGAGGCACTGGACGCCCGCTCCGCTGAGCGATCTGTTTGCCGCTTAGACTTCGCCTCAACTGACGAAGTCTTTGTCACCACCGAGCCAGGGGTTGATAGGACCCCCTTAGCCTCTGCATTGCCCTGGCTGCTGCCAGGTCTTGTAGAGACCATTGTTGTGGACTGGTTGATTGTAGGTGGGGCAGCACTGGCTGCTACCACCACAGGGGCGAATGGCTTTAACCTGGGCACGCTAGGTGTAGGCCAGGTATCCACCAATGGTCATTGTGGTGCCGCCCCTCGTTGCACCAATTCAGCGAAATATGTTGTTAGTGTAAAAGATGAGTGTAGTACTCGTTGGCGTGCTTCACGAAATGTAATATTTTTCTTAACGTTTATAGTGAAAACTTCCTTTTCTCTCTTTCAGGCTTGGCACGCTCTGGAGTATGCGGGATGACTACTTTTGCAGCTTGCACAGAGAACCTCATCGTGTTTGCATTCATCGGTACCGTGACCAGCTGTGGCGCACTTAGAGACGTTGTTTCAAATGCCAGGGATTTCGACATGGATCTCAGACGTGCCGAGGTCAGCTGACTTGCGCTAAGAAAGTTTTAGAGAGCCGGTTTCGATTGATTGTTTGAGGTAGAATTGTTTGAGTCTAAAGTGAGTTTTAGGTGTTTAGTTGAAATGTCTCTGATGTTGCGTCTGATTGTGATGCGCTGCACCTTCCATCCATCAATGTTCATCTTCGGTTAATGTCATCAAGTATTCATCGAATACTACGCCCTGCATTGTGTTCACTGTACGGTGTGCACTTACTGATAGAGGGATATTTCCAAAATCAACGAGGTGTGCAAGTTTGTCGAACTCTTCCTTGTCCTTTAGTTCAAGTAGAATATCCCCACTTGCCATCTTTGTAGCTTTATAGCCAATTTCCATGGTGTCTTTTAGGCACTTGGCCACAAGAAAAGATAAGATTGCTCTGGGTTTTGTAGAAGGTTGTTAAAAATGAAGGACACGGAATTTGGGGAAGGTTACTATGATTTGGTGAAGAAAAAGAAATGCTACATGGTGCTTTTGGTGGCACGATCGGTAACGGGGGGGGGGGGGGAGTGGTTCAAATGTCCCATGAAAATGTTGGTTTCTTCAGCAGCGGCGCCTACCACCCACCACGGAGCCCAACAAGGGGACGTGCCAGAACATGCAGAAAAGTGTGAACTACGCCAGCAGTACGCCATTGCTATAACCGAATATGGTTTATCCTAGGCAGGATAGCCACCCTAGCCAGGATAGCCACCCTAGCCACTAGGCAGGATAGCCACCCTAGCCGCGAGAAAACAATGAAGTAAATAGAAAAGAGAAAAAGACAGGAAAGATTCAAAGTTGAGAAAAAGACAAAGATGTAAGAAGAGAAAGAAAGGAAAAGGCGACTACTGATTTCCCCTGAGTGCGTCAGCCCAGGGGTGCCGTCTACACGAAGCTCAGGCCAAAAGGGTGTGTTGTCTACGCCGGAGGGCCTTGAAGGTTTGTGGGATAACATAACTTTAATGTTTCCGCACTGAAGGTTCTACAACGACTTCCCCTGAATCGGGGCACACACACAGTTTTCTTGCTTATTTCGGGCGAGAGTGTTCTTATCGCTGGCGCCCGTGTTTAGAGGCATCGCCGCGACGCACAGGCGCAGAAGCGGCGCCGACCCGTTTCGCCACACCCCTCCCCCCCACGCAGATAGGAGCCGTCAGGGTTGAAGAGGTTTGGGGACCCGCACCTGGCGTCCAAGGTGGGTGGTGTAGGGTGCGAGCCTAGGCGTTGCGGGCGGTTGTCGGCGAATTACGGGAGGCGTGGGGGGGTTGGCAGGCTCCTGGGAAAGGATGTATGATGGCTTTAGGCGGTCGATGGAAACGCGTACATCCTTTTCACTGATTTGCAGGGTGAATGTTTCGTCGTCGCGAAAGATGACTTTGTAAGGTGTGGATTAAGGCGGCTTGAAAGGTGCGCGTACGGTGTCGTCGTGGAGGAAGGCATGCGAGCATGTTGCCAGGTCCTTAAACACGAACGGGGTCGGCTTGGTGTGGTGAGCCGCTGGTGAGGGGCGCAGCGCGCCCATTGTGCGACGGAGTCGAGCGACGAAGTCTGCAGGGTCCGAGCTGGTTACATCAGAGGTCGGAGCGGAGAGGAGTTCTCCAGGTAGGCGAAGCGGCTCCCCGTAGACGAGTTCCGCGGGCGTGGCTTGAATATCTGGCTTGAAAGTTGCGCCCAGACTGAGAGCGACGGCGGAGAGAGCTTCGAGTCAAGTTGAGTGAGGGTGGCACATAATGGCTGCCTTGAACTGCTGGTGAAACCGTTCAATCATCCCGTTGGTGCAAGGGTGGTAGCTAGTTGTCCGTGAACGCTCGAACCCGGTGGAGAGCCCGAGGAGCCTGAAGAGTTGAGATTCGAATTGCCTTCATTGATCGGTGTTGACTCGACGAGGAGTGCCGAAGCATGAAACCCAGCCGAAGAAGAAGGCTGATGCGACGTCTTCTGCGGTGATTCTTTCGAGCAGCCACACCTCGGACCAACGAGTGTAACAATCGATGACGGTGAGGTAATAGCGGTAAGGGCCGGCTGGTGGGAGGAAGCCAATGATGTCGATGTGGACGTGCTGAAACCTTTCCGTCGGGAGGTGGAATTCTCCGAGTGGCGACGTTACGTGCCGGATGATTTTGGCGCGCTGGCATTGAATGCATGTGCGTGCCCAGGTGCGGCAGCCCTGGTGCATTGAGGGCCACGCGTACCGGTCAGTCACGAGGCGTGTATAAGCTCGGATGCCGGGATGACTGAGGTTGTGTAACTGGTTGAAGAGGCTTTGGCGATGCAAAGAAGGGACGTATGGTCTCACTCGTCCTGTTGATATGTGACAGTAGAGAGCGTTCGTTGACCCAGGGATGGTAACTTTTTGAAGTTGAAGGGACGAGCCATTCTCGAGGAGCTGTTCGGTGTCCGTTTTCCGAGCTTCGGCGCGGGCGTCGGTTGTAACGGTTGGTAGCTCGACAGCCGAGACGCGAGAGAGTGCGTGGGCGACTACGTTTTGCTTTCCGCTGATGTGGCGGATATCTGTGGTGAATTGAGTGATGAAGGACAGCTGGTTCTGCTGGACCGGTGGAAGTTTTTCGCGCCGTTGGGAGAAGGCGTAAGTGATAGGTTTAAGGTCAGTGTATATGGTGCAGTGCTGTGCCTCGAGGATGTGGCGAAAGTGTTGGACTGCTTCGTAGATGGCAAGGAGCTCTCTGTAGTAGGCTGGACTGGTCGTCTCCGCAGGGGGCGAGGTTGCATCACCAATGCTGCCGGAAGGGGGGGGGGCGGCTTCGGGGAAGAGAGTTTCTTCGAGAAGAATGCCAAGGGGCGCCAGTTGTTTCCCACACACTGCATGAGAGAGGCTCCGATGGCGGTACTAGAGGCGTCTGAAAAAAGACCCAGTGGGGCCTCTGGCTTGGGATGGGAGAGCAGCGTAGTGTTGCTGAGGGCAGTTTTGCAGTCTTCGAACGCTTGCGTTAAGGCTGGGATCCAAGTGACAAGATGGTTGCCGCGTTGGCCGGCCAACGCATCATGGAGAAGGGCCTGATATGTGGCCGCTTTAGGCACGAAGTGCCTGTAAAAGTTGAACATGCCCAGGAAACAGCGGAGGTCTTTTGCTGTGGCAGGCAGCGCGTAATTTTGCAGAGCCAGGGTGCGGTCAGACAAGGGTCTAGTTCCTTCTGGAGAGATTTCATGGTCAAGAAACGTGAAGACGGGGGCGCCGAGCGTGCTCTTCTGAACGTTCATGAGTAAGCCGTGTTCGTCGAGACGCTGGACACAGTGACGAAGGTGTTGGCGATGTTCCGTTTCTTTGCGGGAGAAGATAAAGATGTCGTCTAGGTAAACGAAGCAGAAGTCCAGGCCACGGACGACGTCGTCAATGAAGCGTTGAAAGGTTTGCCCCGCGTTGCGGAGACCAAAACTCATGAAAGGGAATTCGAATAGACCGAAAGGCGTGATAATTGCGGTCTTTGTGACGTTATCCGGGTTTACAGGAATTTGTGTGTAGGCCTTTACGAGGTTCACCACTGAGAGGATAGTGCTGCCGTCTAAGCGGTGTGCAAAGTCCTGTATATGACGAACGGGGTACCTGTCAGGGGCGGTGCGGGCGTTGAGGGCGCGATGACCTCCGCAGGGGCGCCAGCCATTGATCTTCTTTGGTACCAGATGAAGCGGTGTGGCGTAAGGTCCCTCCGAGCGGCGGGCAGTACCTTCGCGGAGCATGGCTTCGAATTCGGCCTGTGCGATTCGTATGCGGTTCGGAGCTAGCCGATGGGCGCGGCATGAGACCGGGGGGTCGGGAGTAGTACGAATGTAGTGCACGGTTGAGTGGCGCACCTTTCGCGGACGCCCGCTAGGTCGAGTCAGGTCGGGAAATTCTGCGAGGATGTCATGGTATGGCAGCTGGTTCCCAAAGGTGAGTGCCTTGAAGTTAGGCTGTTGTGTGGTCGCACGTTGGCTCGGCGTGAAGAGGCCTGTTGTAGCGTCGATAAATCGGTCATATCGGCGGTCAGGTAGAAGATTGTAGTACGCCAAGACGTCGGACCCGATGATCGGCTCTGCGACGTCGGCGATGACGAAATTCCATGGAAAATCTCGACACAGGTTTTTGAAGTTGATGTTAAGGCAGAGCAAGCCGTAGGTCTTGATGGTCGAATGGTTAGCCGCGGTGAGCTCAAAGGACGTGCAAGGACGCTTGTCACGCAGGAAGGTTCGGGGAAAGCAACAGATGTCAGAGCCACAGTCGACGAGGAACCGCCGCTTTGTGGCTTGGTCGGTGACAAATATGCGACGACCTCTAAGTTGGCAGCTCGCAGCCGTCTCTACGTGCTGCCGTTGAAGTTTTCCTGACGTCCAGCTGAGGAAGGTGGTTGACATTTCCGAGCTTTGTCTCCGAAGCGGTGATGGTAGTAGCAGGGGCCGTTATCATTTTCGTGCGATGAAGCGGTGTGGTCTTGGCTTTGGGAGCGTTTTTGTGGACGCAGCTTCGGGCTCCACCAGGCGCCTTTGAATTGAGTCCAGCTGACGGGTGATTTTGTCGACACGGCGCGCGAGCTCACTGCTGGACTGTCGGGTGTCAACGGCGTTGACGGTGAGAGGCGATGCTGGCAACGAAATCTCGACGACTTGATCAGCGATGTGAGAGAGCTAGTCCAGTGGCAGATTCGGCTGCACCTGGAGGGTGGCCTGCGCGTGTGAGGGTAGACGCTGAAGCCAGATGATACGGAGGAGGGAGTCGTCGACCGGGTGCTGCCCAAGAGGTCACGCATGCAACGCAGGAGCTACGATGGCTTGCGGTCACTGAGTTCTTCGTGCTGGAGTAAGTGACGCACCGTCTCGTCTTGTGAAGGTGAAAGCCGGTGAATCAGTTCCCTCTTCAGGTGTAGGTAACGGTCATCAGCCGGGGGATTCGCAAGTATATCGCGAACCTCAGCCGCATAGCGAGAGTCTAGATGGGCGACGACGTAGTCATAGTGCGTCCGGTCCTGGGTGATGCGTGCCGTGGAGAACTGCGCCTCGACTTGAGCGAACCACACGTCAGGCGCCTCTGCCCAAAACGGCGGAAGTTTCATGGCGACGCGACAAACGTCCGTGTGGGTGGCAGCCGCAGCAATGGAGGCGCCCAAGGTGGCAGGGACCGCTGGAGCGAAGTTTTGGGGGTCGTGACCCAAGTGGGGTGGTGCACGGTCGTCGGACAAGAGTGCTTCATTTTCATTGCGCTGCTGCTGTTCCCGGAGCTGCTGCTGTTGGTTCTGTATCACTTGATGCTGGGCCTGCAGTTGTTGTAGCTGTTGTTGTACTTGTTCTTGAAGGGCAGCAGTGGTTTCCTCGTCGGCCATGGCGGTGCGGTACGTTCGTTTTCCGGGTCTCCAGATGTGGGATAACATAACCTTAATGTTTCCGCACTGAAGGTTCTACAACGACTGCCTCTGAATCGGGGCACACAGACAGTTTTCTTGGTTAATTCGGGCGAGGGTGTTCTTATCGCTGGCGCCCATGATTGGAGGCATCGCCGTGACGGGCAGGCGCAGAAGCGGCGCCAACCCGTTTCGCCACAGGTTCAATCACCTGGCATCGGCTCAACCGCCAGAGTCCCGTTTTTCCCTGACACGGCTCAGCCACGCACGGCTAAGCATGGGAGGGAGTGGAAACTCCCCCGTTAGCTCGGGTCCATAATTACGCTACGAACCAAATTCCTGATCGCACAGATGCCCTAGTGGGGTCCATAATGTCTGCGTTGAAGTCGCTGATTAGTATAAAGGATGGACGTACGAACAAACGCACAGGCCGACGTATGCATGGACGAACGAATAGGTGGATGTATGCAGGGACGGTAGGATGGATGGATGGACAGAAAGATTGGCGGCTGGATGGATGTAAGCGTGCACAGATGGATGCACAGACAGATGAAAGGAGGAACGAACAGACAGATGGCGCTAGTAATCATGTAATGGTTGTCGAAAGAATAAGTCGACTGAAGAAGCACTCCTGACTGTTGACGAAATATTGCATAATTTCGAAAGTAAAATATACACTGATCGAGATTTCCTTGATTTGAAAAAAAAAAGCTTTCGATTGAATAAAGCGTGACATTTCATATCAACAACTAGCTTTATATGGAATCAGAGGTGTTGCCTCAACATTTAATAATGGTCATTTTTCAGACAGATTTCAATTTGTAAGTCATAACAGTGTATTCAGAAAGTTGAAGGAAATAAAGTGTGGCGTACACCACATGTCCATTTTGGGTTCCCTATTTTAGGGACGGAGCTCCTTATAGCGGCACTTGTTCGTCCCTCGTAGCCGTTGTAGTATGTAACAAGTATAACATTTTGACCTCCAAGGTGGTGCCGGTGAGAGATTTCTTCTGTGCGTTGTTGAACAATATAAAATATTGCTAATGTTCACGCCAATGGCTGCTAATGGGGAATGAGAGACAGGAGCATTCGGCTTTTAGTTAACGCACACGTTGCAATCCCCATTAGCAGCCACTGGCATGTACATTGAGCACTATCTTACTGAAAAAGGCTGCTACGTTATACTCGCTGG